GGTCAGAGCTGTAGATACAGGTCAAAGGTCAGAGCTGTAGATACAGGTCAGAGGTCAGAGCTGTAGATACAGATCAGAGATTAGTGCTATAGATACAGTGAGGAAAATAAGTATTTGAACACTCTGCTATTTTGCAAGTTCTCCCATTTAGAAATCATGGAGGGGTCTGAAATTGTCATCGTAGGTGCATGTCCACTGTGAGAGACATAATCTAAAAAACAAAATCCAGAAATCACAATGTATGATTTTTTAACTATTTATTTGTATGATAAAGCTGCAAATAAGTATTTGAACACCTGACTCTCAAAGACCTGTTAGTCTGCCTTCTAAATGTCCACCTCCACTCCATTTATTATCCTAAATTAGATGCACCTGTTTGAGGTCGTTAGCTGCATAAAGACACCTGTCCAGCCCATACAATCAGTAAGAATCCAACTACTAACATGGCCAAGACCAAAGAGCTGTCCAAAGACACTAGAGACAAAATTGTACACCTCCACAAGGCTGGAAAGGGCTACGGGGAAATTGCCAAGCAGCTTGGTGAAAAAAGGTCCACTGTTGGAGCAATCATTAGAAAATGGAAGAAGCTAAACATGACTGTCAATCTCCCTCGGACTGGGGCTCCGTGCAAGATCTCACCTCGTGGGGTCTCAATGATCCTAAGAAAGGTGAGAAATCAGCCCAGAACTACACGGGAGGAGCTGGTCAATGACCTGAAAAGAGCTGGGACCGCCGTTTCCAAGGTTACTGTTGGTAATACACTAAGACGTCATGGTTTGAAATCACGCATGGCACGGAAGGTTCCCCTGCTTAAACCAGCACATGTCAAGGCCCGTCTTCAGTTTGCCAATGACCATTTGGATGATCCAGAGGAGTCATGGGAGAAAGTCATGTGGTCAGACCAAAATAGAACTTTTTGGTCATAATTCCACTAACCGTGTTTGGAGGAAGAAGAATGATGAGTACCATCCCAAGAACACCATCCCTACTGTGAAGCATGGGGGTGGTAGCATCATGCTTTGGGGGTGTTTTTCTGCACATGGGACAGGGCGACTGCACTGTATTAAGGAGAGGATGACCGGGGCCATGTATTGTGAGATTTTGGGGAACAACCTCCTTCCCTCAGTTAGAGCATTGAAGATGGGTCGAGGCCGGGTCTTCCAACATGACAATGACCCGAAGCACACAGCCAGGATAACCAAGGAGTGGCTCTGTAAGAAGCATATCAAGGTTCTGGCGTGGCCTAGCCAGTCTCTAGACCTAAACCCAATAGAGAATCTTTGGAGGGAGCTCAAACTCCGTGTTTCTCAGCGACAGCCCAGAAACCTGACTGATCTAGAGAAGATCTGTGTGGAGGAGTGGGCCAAAATCCCTCCTGCAGTGCAAACCTGGTGAAAAACTACAGGAAACGTTTGACCTCTGTAACTGCAAACAAAGGCTACTGTACCAAATATTAACATTGATTTTCTCAGGTGTTCAAATACTTATTTGCAGCTGTATCATACAAATAAATAGTTAAATCATACATTGTGATTTCTGGATTTTTTTATTTTTTAGATTATGTCTCTCACAGTGGACATGCACCTACGATGACAATTTCAGACCCCTCCATGATTTCTAAGTGGGAGAACTTGCAAAATAGCAGGGTGTTCAAATACTTATTTTCCTCACTGTACAGGTCAAAGGTCAGAGCTGTAGATACAGGTCAGAGGTCAGAGCTGTAGATAAAAATCAAAGGTCAGAGGTCATTGCTATAGATACAGGTCAAAGGTCAGTGCTGTAGATACAGGTCACAGGTCAGTGCTGTAGATACAGGTCACAGGTCAGTGCTGTAGATACAGGTCAAAGGTCAGTGCTGTAGATACAGGTCAAAGGTCAGTGCTGCAGATAAAGGTCAAAGGTCAGAGCTGCAGATACAGGTCAGAGGTCAGAGCTGCAGATACAGGTCAGTGCTGTAGATACAGATCAGAGGTCAGTGCTGTAGATACAGATCAGAGGTCAGAGCTGTAGATACAGGTCAGAGGTCAGTGCTGTAGATACAGATCAAAGGTCAGTGCTGTAGATACAGGTCAGAGGTCAGAGCTGTAGATAAAGGTCAGAGCTGTAGATACAGGTCAGAGGTCAGAGCTGTAGATAAAGGTCAGTGCTGTAGATACAGGTCAGAGCTGTAGATACAGATCAGAGGTCAGAGCTGTAGATACAGGTCAAAGGTCAGAGCTGTAGATACAGGTCAGAGCTGTAGATACAGGTCAGAGCTGTAGATACAGATCAAAGGTCAGAGCTGTAGATACAGGTCAGAGGTCAGAGCTGTAGATACAGATCAAAGGTCAGAGCTGTAGATACAGGTCAGAGGTCAGTGCTGTAGATACAGGTCAAAGGTCAGAGCTGTAGATAAAGGTCAGAGCTGTAGATACAGATCAAAGGTCAGAGCTGTAGATAAAGGTCAGAGCTGTAGATACAGGTCAGAGCTGTAGATACAGATCAAAGGTCAGTGCTGTAGATACAGGTCAGAGGTCAGAGCTGTAGATAAAGGTCAGAGCTGTAGATACAGGTCAGAGGTCAGTGCTGTAGATACAGGTCAAAGGTCAGAGCTGTAGATACAGATCAAAGGTCAGAGCTGTAGATAAAGGTCAGTGCTGTAGATACAGGTCAGTGCTGTAGATACAGGTCAGAGGTCAGTGCTGTAGATACAGGTCAGAGGTCAGTGCTGTAGATACAGATCAGATGTTAGTGCTGTAGATACAGGTCAAAGGTCAGAGCTGTAGATAAAGGTCAGAGGTCAGAGCTGTAGATACAGGTCAGAGCTGTAGATACAGGTCAGAGCTATAGATACAGGTCAGTGCTGTAGATACAGGTCAGAGCTGTAGATACAGGTCAAAGCTGTAGATACAGGTCAGAGCTGTAGATACAGGTCAAAGCTGTAGATACAGGTCAGAGGTCAGAGCTGTAGATACAGGTCAGAGCTATAGATACAGGTCAGTGCTGTAGATACAGGTCAAAGCTGTAGATACAGGTCAGAGGTCAGAGCTGTAGATACAGGTCAGAGCTATAGATACAGGTCAGTGCTGTAGATACAGATCAAATGTCAGTGCTGTAGATACAGATCAAATGTCAGTGCTGTAGATACAGATCAAATGTCAGTGCTGTAGATACAGGTCAGAGGTCAGTGCTGTAGATACAGGTCAGAGGTCAGTGCTGTAGATACAGGTCAGAGGTCAGAGCTGTAGATACAGGTCAGTGCTGTAGATACAGATCAGAGGTCAGTGCTGTAGATACAGGTCAGAGTTCACAGCTGTAGATGTTTGGCTCATATTTTATCATGAAACTAATCAATATTTACTAATAAGAACATGAGATGTTTAATGATCTATTCAGGGAAGCTGTCACTTCAATAGAACGCCACTTAATGAACATCAAGGCTCTGATCAGTTCTTTAAAGTCCACAGAGATGATCAATCAAACATCTGACACATTTTGATCAGCTACAGAATTTCACATTCAATCAAAAATGTTGTGCTTTGTTGTCCTCTCAGTCTGTCAGGTGGAGGTGGAGGAGGGGGTGGAGTCTGTCCTGCTGCCCTTCAAGACCACAGCTCCCCTGTCTGGAGACTCTAAAATGGAGTGGAACCGCTATGAACCCAAACCCTCAAAGACAGTCTGCGTGTGTCAGAAGAACGGCTCTGACCAGCCTGACCAACAGGACCAGTTTTACAGAGACCGAACTAAAACTAAGGAAGACCTGCTGAGAACTGGAGACCTCAGTCTGACCCTGAAATCACCCACAGACAAAGACGTAGGACAATACTGGGTCTACGTCTCCAACAGTAACATCTGGAGAGTGAAAACAGTTGTTCTCAGGGTCAAAGGTCAGTATGCAGACTGAGGTCAGAGTTTGTTTGTCTCCTCTGCAGAGAGAAGCAGGAACAGAAGCAGCTCCACTGATCCAACTCCTCTGATGGTGGAGAACCGGGGTAGATATACTGGTGGAGATGGAGCTGATTGCAGGCAGGTGTGGCAGGCAGAGGAGGCGGCTGATGAGGTGAAGGTGTGGGCGGTCAGCTGGGCTCAGGATCAGAGAGAGAGGGAGAGCACACACAGGGAGGCAGGCAAGGTACAGGGAAACAGAACGGTGGAAGAAACAAAATGAGCAAAAAAACTCACCGTCAGCCGGGCGTCAGATATTTGATTAAAGCAGACTCACAAGAACAAAGGTTTGTTCAGACTGAACACAAATGTCATCTGTAGTGTTTTTGTAGTCCCTGATTATTCAGCGCCTCTTCCTCCTCACTATACACTGGATCAAACCAAGGCAGTTAAACCCAGAGGCCTCCAGTGGACCTGGTTCAGGCCTTTTAAACATTTGGACTGAGTGATTTTTGCCCTGTCTTCCAGTGTTGCCATTTACAGCAGGTATAAACAGATTTGCATGATCTAGTTTGTTTGAAGCATACAGAGTCCTTCAGATGTTGATCACCTCTTTAGTCTCTTACCTCCAGTTTCTGTTTTTTTCTTGTCTGTTCATTCGTCAAAGATAGAGAAGGATTTTTCATTTAAGCTGAAACATTTCAGTAAGTATGCCAGATTTAGCCAGAGGGCTGTTTTTCATCCGTCAGCAGTGTCGGGCAATAACACGTTACTGTAATATTACTTTTCCCAGGAACTGGTAGTGTAACTAATTACTTTACCAAAACAGTAATATTATTACTAGTTACTAAGACAAGTAACGCTGCCGGACTTTGTTGTTTATGTCTGCTCTTAGCCAAAAACTAAAGGAAGAATGGAGAATGAGGGAGAGAGGCGTTCTGTCCACAGTTGTAAGTAGCTACTGCCATTATTGTGTCACAGTCGAAGATGTCGTCTATTGTATTGAGCAGTCCTAGATCTGATTTATTGAAGCGTCTGCTGAAGCAGCAACGTGAAACTTACAGAAAGCTGGCAGTGAAAGTGTTTCCCATAATTAACTAGTAAGTTGGATAATTATCAATGCTGACTGCCACATATTGATTTTCAATATTTTTACTAGGCATATTTAAAATTATTTTTGATTAAAGGAACTGTATTGAGGAGCATAAATTCGAGCAGCACCTCCTCGCTCGCTCCCTCTTTCTCTCTATCATGAACATTTTACAAGGTCCTCAAAAGAAAGTCCAAAAACATCATTACATTACTAAAAACAGGCAGTCAATACTGAGTATGTCAGCAATAACTGCAACAAAACGTTTCTTGAAACTTCTGAACAGTCCTGCTCATTGACTTGGAGACTTTTACATTCTCAGCGTTTGGCAGCCTTTCCTTTTATAATTTAATCATGTTGTTGGACTTGCGACTGGCCCCAGATCTGAGCTAAATGTGCTCCTGCTGCCAAACCATCGAGGGAAGAAATGTTTTCAGAGCAAAGAACATAAGGTAATGACATATAGAGGATTATTAAAAGTACATACAGGTAAAATCTATTTGTTTCTGTTACAGCTCCACTTTTGGCCATGGTCACATTAAGTTTATAACAAACTGTCAGTTCATCAATGAATGCTCTCATCTTACTGTTTAAGCAGACATATCATTAGTAGACAGAAGAAATGAGCTTTAGCTGTTTTGTAGAACAGAGACATTCTTGAGTAGTGAGAAAGCTGGGGATAAAAACATATTTAATTTAAGCAGTTTGGTCGAAATCATCAATGTTGTCATTGTCACAATCAGGTGGATTATTCAACATTTTCTCAGGAAGGAGGCAGAACAGGACTGGGTCGGCGACAATATATTTACACTGAACAATATTATAAATGCAACACTGAGTTCAGCTTATGATGAACGGAGGCAAAAACACAGGGCTATTTCTCTGAAATATTGTTCACAAATCTGTGTTAGTGAGCACTTTTCCTTTGCCCAGATAATCCATCCACCTCACAGGTGTCGCATATCAAGATGCTGATCAGACAGCATGGGGATTGCACAGGTGTGCCTTATACTGGCCACAATAAAAGGCCGCTTGAAAAGCACTTGCTATTGGCTGATACAACCTCCGGACTGACGCTTTCCAGCTCTTTCCAAATAATCTTTCTCAGCTGTCAACACATGGCGTTAATCCAGCACAGTCACATGATAACAGGTGGGTGTATTCAGGGCAGGAGAAACAGCTAGCTCGGCTCTGGAAAGACTGTCACACTCATGTTTTGTGAGTGCATTTGTGTTCTCTAAGGTTTCTTCTGCTGGTATAAGATTTCCCACACTGTTCACACCCATACGGTTTCTTTCCAGTGTGAACATGTTGGTGAATTTTTAGTTGACCTGGTCGAGTGAAGGTTTTCCCACACTGCTCACACCTGTACGGTTTCTCTCCAGTGTGAACACGTTTGTGCATTTTTAGTTGAGCTGAATGAGCAAAAGTTTTTCCACACTGTTCACACCAGTGAGGTTTCTCTCCAGTGTGAACACGTTGGTGCTGCTTTAGGTTATCTGATCGAGTGAAGGTTTTCCCACACTGTTCACACCCGTACGGTTTCTCTCCAGTGTGAACACGTTTGTGGGATTTTAGGAGAGCTGAATGCGCAAAAGTTTTTCCACACAGTTCACACCAGTACGGTTTCTCTCCAGTGTGAATACGTTGGTGAACTTTTAGGTGAGCTGAATGAGCAAAAGTTTTTCCACACTGTTCACACCAGTGAGGTTTCTCTCCAGTGTGAATACGTTGGTGCTGTTCAAGGTTACTTGATTGCGCAAAAGTTTTTCCACACTGTTCACACCAATGAGGTTTCTCTCCAGTGTGAACCCGTTGGTGGATTTCTAGGTGAACTGAATTAGTGAAAGCTTTTCCACACTGTTCACACCAGTACGGTTTCTCTCCAGTGTGAACACGTTGGTGGATTTTTAGGGCACTTGATGTAATACAAGTTTTCCCACATTGGTCACACCAGTACGGTTTCTCTCCAGTGTGAACTCTCTGATGAATCTTCAAATATCCAGATGTTGTGAAGGATTTGTCACAGTGCTGACAGCGATGACGTTTGAGTCCATCTCCTCCTCTCTTTCTCTATATCAAAAGAAAGAAACAGTAAGTGAGATGTCATGGTGGAGTGAGCCATCTAAAAGCATGAATGACAGTATTTGAAACATTGATTTTAGTGATTACAGATCATAAACTTTGTTGGAAGAATATCTCAAATGGATATTATCTAAATCTATAGATGTTATTTACAAAAGAAGGGATCACTTATAATACATTTGTCATTATGTTGAGGTGTGGGGAAATGCATATAAAACAAATAGACCCTATAATTAAACTACAAAAAAAGACCTATTAGAATAATAAATAAAATATGTTTCTGTGAATCTACTAACCATTTATAGAAGTGTGCACATTGAAATTCGTAGACATTGTGTATTCAAAACCATTCGAAGTACTTTTTCGAGCTTCCTGTTTGTATTCAAAAACGTTTTAAATTAAGAAAAGGAAAGCATAACATAAGCGGATTGTGTATATTTGAAACATGTAAAGTGAAAACTAATAAATACAGATGTGTTTCAGTTTTGGGAGTTAAATTGTGGAATGGACTTAAAAAGCAAAATAATTAAAGCTTAAAGTTTAGATTTATTTAATTTTGTTTCCTTTCTTTCCTTCTTTTTGCTGGTATTCTGTATTTTAGTGCATAGGATAGGCAAATATAAGCCTTGGTCTTCAGCCTGTCCTTTTGCGGTTGTAAATGTTGCACGTTATTTTCAGTGAATGGATTGGTGTAACCATATGTAAGATTTCTGTAAAATGCATATTCACACAAATTGTCATTCTTTGTATTTTGTAAACAGAAATAAACCATTCATTCAGTAATGGTTTAACATTTGGGTCCAGACCCAAGTTATGAGGAAAATATTCAATGTGCGATGACATTGTTATATATTGAGATGATATATAACTTGTCATAAATAAACATTTGTTGAAGTGTGCATATTAGCTGCCCGGTTCTTTTTTAATTATAGGATTAGAACTGAATATTTTAAATACAGTTTCTAGAGCAGCAACATTAATGTTTACAACACCAAAGTCACTGTATAAACTAAGAAAGAAAAAGAAGTTCAGTCTGTACGAGACCTTCCCTCCTCTCTGCTGTTATTCAGTGCCTGCAGGTAACGTTACCAGGTAGAAGGAGGAGCGGCTGGTTTGTCTCAGCCAGCAACTGACTTTTTAAGACTACAGAGCAGTCTATGCTCCAGACAGACAGCTTTCTATTTAGCTTGTTTTTAACATTTGGCTAATTGCCAAGCTAACGTTAGCTGTGCTTGTATAAAACTGAGACTGAGGATAGAGATGATTAAATAAACCCTTTCTACAGGTTTGCCCTACATGCAGGTGTATTTATGCAGTATTGTCTTTGGTCTTCTTGGTGTGAGGTCTCAGGGTTGATGTTGTGTTAGCAAACACCTAGTGCAATAGTAACTCAGTGACTTCTAGGGAGTAGCCTACGCTGTTTTGTCCTCCCTATTTTTCCATGGCATCGATACCGGTGTTCATTCTGAAGAGTAAACCTTACTTAAACCACTTAATGGTTAGTTAGGCTGTGTGTTAATTCACTTACATTTATTCATTTAGCTGAAACTTTTATCCAAAGCCACTTACAGCTGCTGTACATGTCAGAGGTCACACATCTCTGGAGCAACAAGGGTCTTGCTCAGGGACACAGTGGTGTCTCACAGTGGATTCAAACCAGGGTCTCTCACACCAAAGGCATGTGTCTTATACACTGCGCCATCACAAGATCTAATTCACTTGAAAGACATTTAATAAGTTTAATTAGGGCACATGTGTCAAACTCAAGGCCCGTCATTTTATGTGGCCCACGAAAGCTTAAAAGATTCATGATTGTCCTAAAATACAAGTTTATGCTGCTTTAAAGTGTTCATGAACACAATGGCCACAATGCATGGCAATTTTGTGACCTGTAAATTGATAGCATCCCGCCACTAGATTGCGGTCTTTCCACACACGCGTTTTTTTAACGACAAGTGGAGATGAGAAATGTATACAAACGATCCCAAAATGTCCAATAAAAAATGATGCAGAAGGAAGCCATTTCATGGGAAAGTCAACACGTTTGTGTTTCAAGGAGATAAAGCGATAGCTGCCGGTCGTGTGTTAAGGAAGAGTTTATGCAGTAAAGTATGTTTATACAGTCTTACAGTTCCAACTGGCCCTTTGAGGGTAACCATAATGCTTATGTGGCCGGTGGTGAAAATGAGTTTGACACCCCTGGGTTACTTGGTAACAAATGATTGTGACTAGTCAACTAATCGAATAAACCATTAACAGATTGGTCGACTACCGTAATATTTTGCGAGGGGACAGCGCTTTCCACCACCAGTAGGCGTCTCATGCACAATAATGGCGCAGCTGCATAATAGCGTCACAACTTGTTGATTATTATATCATGCCAGTCAGAGTTACCTTTACAGTTGCAGATTTTAACCTTCACACCTCAGTGGGGGTGTGACGAGATCTTGCGCCGCAACATTAAACTGTGACAAGAATTCTTGTCAGGTAAAAAGCTCAGATTATGATTCTGTGGGAGAGATTCTGAATGCGCACAAAAGCTTTGACCTTAAGCAGACAATCTGCTGAAGCACAGGAGCTATTAAAGTCCAGGAGTTTAAAACTGAATTAAAAATAAGCAATATCATAATGGTGAGACGGTGCTACAGTCATTTAAAGAGGTTACCCAGGGCGTTAAAAAGTGACGCCAAAGGGCCTTGACCAAGCGTCAATATGTTCAGAGTTGGAAGACAGAATGTGATGACTGCTGAAATTTTCATCAGAATAAGGAAACAATCTGTGTTAGTGAGCACTTCTCCTTTGCCAAGATAATCCATCCACCTCACAGGTGCGGCATCTCAACATGCTGAGCAGACACCAACAGTCGTATCTAGAATGATTCTGAGGTCATATTAACAGGGTTTTAGGGTTGATGCCCAAAACATGTTGTGTCCTCACTAAAATCACTGTGGAGCAACAGAACCAACCAAATGACTTTCTCCAGATCTAAAGCTTGGAGTTCCTCCAGCAGGCTGATCTTTGGCTGTTGGTTATTTATTATCTGCTCCAGCTTTTCCAACTATTTGTTCAGAGATATGGTGAAAATAATAATGTGAAATGTAAAATTTTCTTGCCTGAAACACTGAATACTATTGAATACTACAAATATAATTTGTATTTACTGGCTTAAAATAATCCACATAATGTTGTCAGTGAAAACCAAATGTCAGAGGGCCTTTCTGAAACTAGACCCTCGCCACTTGACACAGAGTGAACTCTGGTCGTAGTCACCCTCACAGCCAAATCGAGCTCCGCAACCCACGTAGGGTTTAAATACAGCAGACAGCTTTCGGACGAACTCTCCCCCCAGCGTAAACGGGATCTGACGTTACCGCTGCACTCGCTGCTATAATATGTGTATTAAATAAACAACCGTTGTGTTAAGATTCAGGGCTGATGTTGAGGGAAAGTTTGTTTTTTGCAATAACGAAACTGAAAGCATTTGTCATTCATTTTGTGTTCGTGTCAAATATTTCTTTAAGAACGTGACTTACGTCATAGATATTTACGAAAAACAAATATTATATTCTTATACTCTTATTATGAAAAGATTGCTATTCATTGTAAAGAAAAGCCTATATTACATTCCCAAATACAACATTTCTAAATAAATCAAACATTGAGGCATTATATAGTCTAACAGTAACAGTTAAAATGTATAAAGACTTAACTGTTTTTCTTTAATGCCTTTGTTGCTTGTTACATGATCCCCCTGTGTATCTAGAGGCGCTTTTCGACCAACAGTACCCGGGACTTTTAAGTCCCCAGATCTCTTTTCAAGGAACTAAAAGGTTCGTTCAGCCCTGTGTTGTGTGTGTTTCCACCACGGTCTAAAGACCTACGAAGGCAAATGAACCAGCTGTCGTAGGCTGTAGGCCTGCACGCGGTACACAGCGATGCACAGGAATCATTATTTGTAACCACTATCCACGAGCAACATTTATAAAAAACCATCAGATTTGACTGGAATATAATGAAAAACTACAGGCTGTGTTTGACCATTAAAGCAGTTTCTTGTGTGGGAGTATAATGAAGAGACAGGCGATGAAGTTTGTTACACATTTAATCCCAAACTGTTCTTAAAAATAACTGCAGCACAAAAATAAAATGGCGACAGTTTGGAAGGTTAAAACATTTCCAGCAACAAGAGCTGCAGATCAGCTGCAGCATCACGTCGAGCTTTATTACCTGCTGTGATCAGCTGGTTTTGAAGAAGAGGAGACCGACACCTTCAACAAGCCAGCATAGGGGCTCACTCAGCATTTGAGGGTTTAACAAGCCACCAGCCCTCATTAGTTGCAGATGGCGCTCGATGTGGCGGACCCTCTGCATGAACGCGCAAGTGGAGTGGAAGTAGCCAGGGAGTAGGGCTGAACGATTAAAGGCATGTGCGATGTAATAAAACGAGATTTTCTAATAGCAAAGGCTGCGATTACACTCTGGTCACATGACACCTGAGACTAAAGCAGTCTGACCAAGTTGATGCTTCGTCTGCACGTTACGCTGCACACCTTGCCTTCTTGTTGTACAACGGCCCCGACAAATGCACAACAGACACGTGTAGTAAGGTAAGCGTATTGTAGCGATCGCCGCCAGCGTCACACACACAGCCACCAGGAGGAGGAGGAACCCGGTGTCGTCGGGGAATTACTAAGCTTGTCTATTAAAACGGAGTATTTTCTGTTTGCTTACTGGGACACAAAAAGATGGACTCCTAGGAGGTTTGAACTGGGATAAGGACATTAATTGGTGGTTGAACTGTGTGTTTTGTATCACTGGGGCCAGCCAAGCAATCTATCCACCATACTACAAATTGACTCCGCAACCATCACTCCAACCAAGGTGGTGAGAAACTTGGGTGTCATGACTGATGACCAGCTGTCCTTTTCAGACCATGTTGCTGCTGTCGCTCGGTCGTGCCGCTTTTCTCTATACAACATAAGGAAA